ATTAGCCCCGGTTCTGACAGTTGGCACCGGCACCTCAGATCTCAAGGACTGGCAATTATGAAGCCTTCATTCTTTATTTGGGTCACATGACCCAATTTCATATCACGGGCATCGCCAACAGCAATTCATTACAACCCCCCACCCCCCAATAAAAAAGGGGGGGAAACCCTCCGAAGCTCATATATATTTTTCAGTAGATCGCTTCGGCTTTTCCTGTTTTGCCTACCGTCTGTCTAATTGGGCCCATTTAAAGAGGAGGTTTTCTGAGTGATTCCTGAATGATTTGCGGTTGTGCACCATCAGGTCAGCTGGTAAACGATGACAATTAACTGATAGACAAGGGAAGATTAATTGCGGAGCCACAAAAGGACACCGTCCAGTATCCTCCCTATCGGATGGAAACGGGAGCAGCAGGTTTTAAACCTAAATATTTTATTTTACAAAGTTACTGACGTACCAAATAAATAAATAAATAAATAAATGAATACAAATACAGTAAAGCTCAGTGGTGGAAAGGTAAACGAGAAAACAATGAGTCGTCAACTGAGCTTTCCGGTCCCAACCCCGACAATTGTCCTTCTATTTGCTGTCGGTTATAGGAAAAAGCGCGGTGCTTAACGAAAAGGTGGGAAACTGCTACCGCGAAGTTTCGGAGACACCACTGCGGCCCGACGGCTTGGACGGGGATGGGACGTGGGACGGGGAGGGAACGTGGGACGGCGCAGGGATAGGGGGAGCGCGGCGAAGATCCATCACTACCCGTCAGTCACCGTCCTCCTGGCTTTCGAAGCGCGAGGCGTATCGCTAATTTTCTGCATTATTATGTAAACCGGTTTTTAATAAATAAAACTAAACAGTATTAACGTTAAATCTATGCAAATTCATGCGGTCATTTATCAGAAAAGCTGACAAGCATTCCATATTGGGGGTAAGTTGGGGGGGGGGGGTGGTAGCAATTGAGCCTCCCGAGCAGTGACATTTAATTAATTTTTGTGTTTTCTCCTCTCCCCCCACCATACAATGGCACACCAAAGAAAAGTCCCCCCGCCACCCCGATCTCCTTTGTGTTCTGGCCTTAACCACATATGGCTTTTGCCTGTTCTGCTGATCTTGACAAGACCTGCAGACGCCTCCGGCTACGCGGTCTCCGGTGATGAGCACTCCTGGGACGGGTCGGTATGCGCCGCGTGAAAAATAAAACAAATTAAGGGAGACGATCCACAAGGGGGCAGGGGAAGGTGCTGTCAGGCCAAAGGGGAAGATGAAATATTAAACACGTACCCCACCTACCCTGCACGCTAACTGTATCTCGTATAACATCAACGTCCCGAGACTCAAATGCCGCGATAAACACTAGTCTGCGTGTGTATTGTAATTAATAAACGTACCTCTTGGTTCCAGTGTATTGGCTTCCTATGCATCGATAGAAACATGATTATAAATATATAATAAATTTTATAAGTTGGGTATACATGATTCCATTCTCATTTTGTCTACAACGCTGGCTCTTGTAACACCAATCAACGTTTATGACTACAAAGCAATAATCTCGAAACAATATATCTCACAATCAATGATAATTCTCGATTTCCAGAAATTAAACTCATGAATGTGGTAGGGGGAAAACACCTTTAGAGAGAAAAAGAAAACGTTAATTGTTGAAAATAAGATGACCGAATATTCGTCAGGAAATCCTTGCAGTTAGACAGACTGATTGGTCTTAATCCCGATGGACACGTTTCCGAGGCTGCGAAAGGTTTGACAGTTCCTTACACCTTAGTCCTTTAAAGTCGGGGGAGGGGGGGCAGTCCGACTAAGTTTCTCCCACATGGGAGTTAATTTACTCCAGAATGAACACGTCCAATACCGCTTACAGTCTCCGCCGAACAAGCCGCAGCTGTCAGTATCACAGAAGCGACGGCCGTCATATAGGGACCCCACTGACTGATCGGGCATTTCATGACAAGCCTCAATGCAAACTGAACACAAATTCAGACATCCCTTATATACAGACATTTTGCAGATCGTAAATAGCAGGAAACTTTCCTGAGTTAAGTAAAACACAGAAAGAAAAAGAATGGAAACAATGTCTTGTGGAGAACTCGTCTGCGCGAGCCTTTCTGAACAAAAACTACATTGCTTATTTACCTTCTAACGGCTTAATGTGCCCTAAGGTGGCAGAGAAGAAAAAAAAACAGATTTAAAAAGACAAGCTAAAACAATAAACTCATAATAACAGCAAATATACTTGGAAGGGCAACACTGCAGTCACTATCACGCACAAAATTAAATTAATATACAATACAAGGCAATGCTAGCATAAAATGAAGAAAGTGTAAATATAGGTCCAAATCATAGAATTTAGTTCAGCATTACTTGCAGGGCTGAGTGATATGTTAGGTGGTGTGGACAAAATAATAGCAAGATTTTAGACCTCGGAAAAAGATCCATAAATCGTCGAAGGCTGAGATTGAAGAAAATGGAGCAAATATGAAGACAATCCTAAGATTCTATATACGCCCAAAGGACCTGTCAAAAGGACCTGTCCAGGGGTCTTCTCTATGAGGACCCCCCCCCCCCCACACACACACACACGAGCACAACAGACTGGCTGCAGTTATTCACAACTGTTCCAAGCAGTTTGCGAGCCCTGGTCAGCCTCGGAGGGGGGGGGGGGGACTGGGAACGGATGCAGTCAGGTTGCATCGGCTGACTAGACAACCCGTGGAGGGTATCACAGATCAACAGCCCAAGCTCCCGTCACTGCACGGAACAGTCCGGAAAACAGTTTCTGCTGCAAAAGAGGTGTGAAATATTTATCTGATCGCAGCGCTTTAAAGCAACATTCAACATGGCTCTAAGCCTGTTTCTAATAAACACGAGTACTGGCTTGTGCATCGTGGGCATGTGAGTGTACCGGTGTGCAAGGGCGCACCAGAGACAGAAACCCCAAGTCGAGTTCTCTTAGCAAGGCACATATTCAGCTTTGGTCCAGATTCTGCAGCCCCTTCTGTACTGTACCTCTCAAACAGCCCCCTGGAGTCTGGTGGGCCAGGTTCAAGAAAATAAAAATATTCTTTGCATCAGGGTGACCCAAAGCACCAGCGTTTAGTCACAAAGGTACACAAGACAAGCGACCATGGACTGCTTACTAATCTAGCTGGCCCAATGACATGCAGAGCAATGGAGGTGCTGCACAAGGATTGGTTACTCATTCTGACGCCTTACTGGCTTCACCATCACTTTAACAGGCTTCCAAAACCACCTTTTAAGGGACCCTAGGTCAAAGATATTGATTTCCTTGTGTCTGGAAGCAAAGGAAAATGTGGGTGCACTTTCTGTTTAACAGTTGGCTGTATGGCACTAATACAGCAGGCCAGTCATGCTGCAATAATACAGGAACTTGCCCAAGGGGGGTTGTCTCCACAGTAACTGTGAATGCCTATCTGCACTGTCTGTGGCGGTCTTTGCCATGCACGTTTTGTTTCTGAGCCCTGTGTCTCTGTGGGTATGTCTAGTTTATTTTTACTTATTTTTTTTTAAGAAAGAAAAAATATGTGCCTGCTTTGTGCTTAAGAATGATACGCCTTTAAGCGTCTCACGTGACACACACGGTAACACTGGAAGCAAAACCATGCCGTGTCAGGCAGGGACGCTTGAGGAATAGTAACAGGGTTTGTACGGCGCGAGCTGCAGAAGCTGTGGGGCTGTTCACCTCACAGAATAAAGTGAACGCACAGACACAAACGCATAAAACGTTTTTTTTTTTTTTTTAAAGCTTACATAACCTATAGCAAGTGCTGAACAAATAAAATAATGAATCGCTAATTGACACATATTTGCGTGAACACGTTCATTAGAATTGATCAGGGACATGAGAGATTAAAAAACAGCATAACGCGATGGATTTCAGTGAAACCCCAGGCACACCGTATATGAAAAGGCTGTTAATTAAAAATATCAAACGAGACATTTTAAAAACGTTAAAAATGGAAACGCGTATTATTCCGGGCACAAAACGTCTTTGTAGAAATTATACATAGGCCTATATACTTTAAACTGACAGTTATTTATATAAGCATTAATAATATATAATATTAACAATATATGATCATATACAACTTTATAATATATAATCAAATACAACTTTATATACCTATTTTAATCATTGCTCTTGAAAAGTTCCGTGAAACGCAATATTGTGATTGTATGTTGAAATTTTAGTTCTGCGCAATTTGAGAAATAACTTTCGGTTCTTCGTGACATTTTCTCATCATAAAATTAATTACAAATAATATATATATTATTAATTCCACTTAAACTATAGCAGCCAACCTCAAACAAAATTAGTCAAGCCATTTATTATTTAAATTAAAAGGGGGGGGGGGTATTTTTTTAAAATATAAAAACAATTACATTAAATTAAAATCCATTTTCTTTTTCATCACCGTCTCTCACTAGAATATAATTTAACTGAAAGCTACATTTTTATTATTTCTAAGAAGGAATCAAATTACTGGTGCGAACAGAGAAATAAAATTTTACGGCTTTCCGACAGCCTAATAACCACAGCGATACAATTTTGAAAACAACATATCATGAATTTACAACAAACGCTGTATTTTAATTAAAAAACAGACAAAATTAACCATACTGCTTGTTTTCAAATGCGAAAATTGTATCGGAAAGTAAATATGGCATAAAACAATGAATAACTACAACTGAAATGGCAACTTGCAAAAATAATGGACAATATGCCTCCATCCCGGCGTCAAATGGCTAAATAATTCGGAAAATAATCAGCTTTATAAAACACGCATTTCCGACAGCAAATTTCCCAAAGATGAAATCCAGAGTTATTTTGTTCTCCGTTCATTTTATTTAAAAAAATATTTTTAAGTTCCACGGTACATTATTTACAGACACTAAATAATCTAGAAAGAATAAGAAATAAACTGATTAAGTACAATTTTATTAATCCTAATATCAACTATAATTATGTTATAATTACAAACAAAATATTTTTTTATAAAATGATGTATATACAAACTGCAAAAAGCTGACCCGAAGATAAACCTGTAATATGCACAATTGTGTCTACACTACAAGAATACGTAAAAGATTTAATCTTAGCAGAATAACAAAAATTCACACACAGGGATTTTAAAAAACAGAATTTATGATCCATTACCAAACTTATAATAAAATCTACATTTTCATACAGCGACTCTAAACCTAGGGAGCAAGTAAATAAATAGCCTATATGCACCACTTTCATCTCATAAACAAACACATATTACATACAATAAAAACTAAAATAAAACAAAATAATATAAGCTGGAAACCCTCACACATTTATACCCACGTTGCAAACATCTAACCAGTAAAAACATGCGCGACGCTTAGAAAAACTGGCCAGAAAATAAACTATTGTCCAATTCCCAAAGTGTAGGTGTATTTCCGCCGCCCAATATACTCCTACCTTTAGATTTAGCCGTATATAAAAGGCAGGGATTAATTTGTCGCCGATAAACCAGAGCCGGTGACGCACCCGACGGCGATTGGCCCTCCCCACGTACAGCCCTCCCTTTATAATTTCCACACACGGCGCTCTTAAACACAGCGACACCGGCAGCAGTCTACGCTGCCACTCTCAAAAGGCACCTGGCACTTTTTTTTTAAATGATCCCACCCATATTCCCGATAAGCAAGCGCAGAGAAAGCTTAAATTGCGAGGCGGTTTTCACTACTGAAAAGTTGAGCGAGTGGCACACATCAGTGCCCGCCGTGGACTTTTGATTATTGCTCGCCACTACAAAATCGGAAGGACTTACTGTAAGCTCGGCATACCGCAAAACAAAAAAAACTAATGACTCTGATCAAGAAGCTTATCGCGCTGGTGCTTTGAGCACGTAACAAACCTGATTCAAAAACACTTACATCATCTTTTTTTCTTTTAAATAGCTTACTTTCTTCTCTAAAATTGGCTCCTGTACAAACAGCCGCGTTGGATCCTTCGGCGTACTGCGAGACTCCGGTATACAACCCGGATCTCTGCCCGAATATGATAGCCGCTCAGGCAAAGTTGGTGTATCACCTGAACAAATACTACAACGAGAAATGCCAGTCTCGGAAAGCGGCGATCTCCAAGACGATCAGGGAGGTGTGCAAGGTGGTGTCGGACGTCCTGAAGGAGGTTGAGGTGCAGGAGCCCCGATTCATTAGCTCCCTGAACGAAATGGAAAACCGATTTGAAGGTCTGGAGGTGATTTCGCCGACCGAATTCGAGGTGGTTCTCTACCTAAATCAGATGGGGGTGTTTAACTTCGTGGACGACGGCTCGCTGCCAGGCTGCGCTGTGTTGAAGCTCAGCGACGGTCGCAAGAGGAGTATGTCCCTCTGGGTCGAGTTCATCACAGCCTCTGGGTATCTCTCGGCCCGCAAAATCAGATCGCGCTTTCAGACACTGGTAGCACAGGCGGTGGATAAGTGCAGCTACAGAGATGTGGTAAAGATGGTCGCAGACACCAGCGAAGTGAAACTGCGCATCAGAGACAGATACGTAGTTCAAATCACTCCGGCATTCAAGTGCACTGGGATATGGCCACGGAGCGCGGCGCACTGGCCCCTGCCGCACATTCCCTGGCCGGGACCGAACAGAGTTGCAGAGGTCAAAGCCGAAGGTTTTAACCTTTTATCTAAGGAATGCTACTCTCTAAACGGGAAGCAGAGCTCGGCAGAGAGCGACGCCTGGGTTTTACAGTTCGCGGAGGCGGAGAACCGACTCCTCTTAGGAGGCTGCAGGAAGAAATGCCTGTCCGTCCTGAAGACATTGCGGGACCGTCACCTTGAACTCCCGGGACAGCCGCTCAACAACTACCACATGAAAACTTTGGTCTCCTACGAGTGCGAAAAGCATCCGCGGGAGTCGGACTGGGACGAGAACTGCCTCGGAGATCGTCTGAATGGGATTTTATTACAGCTCATCTCATGCTTACAGTGCAGAAGGTGTCCGCATTACTTTTTGCCCAACTTAGACCTTTTTCAGGGCAAGCCTCATTCGGCCCTGGAGAACGCAGCCAAACAGACTTGGCGATTGGCGAGAGAGATTCTTACCAACCCCAAAAGCCTAGAAAAACTCTGAGGTGGAAAATAGTGATATTAATAAATATCGTTGCAAATGCGAGAATACGCCCCTCGAGCTAACCAGTGTTCAGAGGCCTAAAGGATGGCGCTCTTAACGTAGGACGACGCAAACAAAAATAAGCACTACTGTTTGATCCATGTTTTGTAAAACGTACACGAAATAGCCTACGGATTGTGATTTACTAAAGAATTTTAGATGGCCGATTACGTAAGAAAATGCCATCGCTGCAATTTGGGAGCTATATATATCACCAATCAAAACAACTAAAATGGTAACTATAGTTTTCAGTTCCTGGTATCAGTAATACACGTATTTGGTAATTAGAATTAAAATAAAATTCCGCGAAAGCCTTGGCAGAATCTAACTGTACATTTTTATACTGTATAAACGTACATTAATAGATTGTGTTTCAAGTGGTCTGAAATTGTGAATGTTGTTTTGTGACACGTAAATAGAAGTTCATCTGTTTATGGAAACCCAGACTTTTTCTGGTAGAAAAGAAATCAACCTAAAGTAGATCACATCAATATTTTGCTTTGTCTATTGTCAATGGGAAGTGAGTCATCTTCAAAAAGTTTACATTCTGACGGTACTCTTTGTTCATTTTTAAAACTTTCCATAAATATACTTGAATTCTAATTTTACATATATTCGAACATTTTTGTTCTGATTCTGCTTATCATTAATGCCTGGAAGTATATATATATATATATTTGAGAAAAATGCACTTGAGATACACTGGATATAACATTTTGTGACTTGATTTTTTCCTGTTCCTGAATTTATTTAAAAAGCTAATAAAAATTCAAGCATTATTTGTGTCCCAAAGATGATTCCAGTTAATGTCTACAAAATCCCTAATTTTTGCAGTATTTTCATCTATATAATGTACATAATATAATGTACATCCGGTGTTCAAGGTTATTAAAAGTACAAAATCCAGTAAAACGATATTTTTAAGTTCAAAAGAAACACTGTGTAAATCTTAATGTAGTGGGTTCAAGCCACAAAATGAAACAGAAATAGAAAACAGGCATTATGACGTTCGTATTCAGCCATATTAATTATTTTGCTGCAAATATGCAATGACATCAATTATCATGTTGAAACAGTCCGTCTATTATAAATGAATATCACGGGTGTGAATTATAGTTCACCGAATACACCCGTAGCACTAATATCAATTCTGCAAATTTTTTAAATAAAAAAAATAATTACGCCACTGTGTTCCCGTCCTATTACGGTTGGAAACTATTTGTTCATTTAAATCAAGTTTGTGAGGAAGATAAAAAATGAACACGAAAACGATTTTTTAGAAATAAACTGCCTTATTCAAAAAACGTATATGCATTAAACACGGTCATATGTGGCAACGCTCATTAACAAACGCTTTCTACTTATGTCCTGATACTTTAATAACGCCTATAAAATGATGATTTAATAAACTTACATAAATTTGAAAAAAGACACCGCAAAAATTAAATATAATAAAATTTTTCAGTTACGGTGTACCTTTTTCCCCCTTTTTTAAATGCAAAAGAAGCACACAGAATGGTCTTTATCGCGTTTTTTAAAACCGCGTTTAAGTCTTTTTCATTCCTTATTGTCCGTTTAAAGCTCCCAGTGAGTAAAAAAACTCGCACCACAATGTAAAGGTAAAACAATTAAAGCATTTATACGCATGAAAAATGTCAATACGACACTTCGGCGAATTCAAACAAAACAGAGATGTTTGAAAGCATACCTTGGCGTTAATCTTCTTGAAGGCGGGGTCATCTTCGTCCACCTCAAAGTAGATCTCAGAGGTTGTGATGGAGAGGGTACCGCGCGCGACGACGACCGGGGCTATCAATTGGGCCGGCGTGCTCAGCACCACGGGGCCTGCAAAAGATCAGGAACATAAAATGCACATACAATACGCATATTCTGTCGAATTATTCCAAGTACACGGAATATCCATCAAGACAAAGCCCTACAACTAAATATGCGACTGTTTCTAGGATTTTATTCTACACCTTTAACTGAATTTCAAATAGGCCTGAATGTTACATGACGTAGCCTAACTGATGCCTTTTTGAGTTTAGTTAGATATTTTAACCCATTTAACGTTTTAAAAAAATAACATAAATGTGTATGTACTATAATATGTATAATTCGGATAGTTTTTGGTATTGCACTTTTTAGATCGAGCGGATCAAAAAATAATCGCGTACCTACATGTTATCCCGGACACTGAGAGAATTACACAAATCGTCAGTTTTATTGATTCATTTAAAGTGATTCAAAATGAATTCGATTTAATATAAATGACAGAAGAGAAATAGTGGATAAACCTTTATTAGCTAACTGGCCGATTTTTACATTGATAATACCCATTGCGTTCTACTTAATTATTGACATAGCAAAGTTTACAACTGTATGTATACCGAACATTGTGCTGTAGTGTGACTGACACAGACAAGAAAACAGGTAATGAAATACATAAAATTCATCAAAATGCCCAGGTGTCCTTTTCTTAACCAGATGCATTATTATTATAGGGATATGATAGTAGGGATTAAAAATATAAATTCAGATAAGGTAATCTGTACGAGGCTATATGGATATAATATCTGGATTTTATTTGACTGAGTGGAGATACTGAGGGGATATACAGTGATTTGGTAGCTTGCTTTATAAATACATCCCAAACAAACCTCTCTTTCCTCAAACAGCAAAGCTTGTAAAAATAACATTTTGTCTTGTCACCAAGGGTCACCATTTTTGTTCTTGCATTGCTCGGATAATTTTGATCACTTAATGTCGACACACCACCGCTCTCCATCCTCCATGCTCCGTTCAGGGCGCTGCGCTGTGTTACTACACAGCCCGCCGTGTCACTGATCGCTATACCTTCTCGCACACTAGAGAGCTCTTGAAATTGGGATATTTATCGATCTTCTCAACTCCGAGGAGCCACTTTAATGTCTCATCAATCTTAATCTAGGTTGCTCAGCCAATTATGCTGGATACTCTTGCAAGATTACAAGTGGGTTTTGGTTTCAATTCCCAGAGCGCTCCTTCATTGTGCCGGTGGACGGCTTTTAGAAACTGCCGACTCGACTTCCCCCACTCTCTCTCTGTCTCTCTCTCTTTCCCTCTCTGCGCTGACTACGTAAAGCATTTTCTAACCAGAGCATCGCAGCCTTTTAACCTACAACATGCCATTCAGATGCGATAGTGCTATTAGTTATTTTAATTCTCTGTATCATGGGCAGAAAATAAATTTTAAAATTACAAAATCTATTCCCTCTATTTTCATTGTATCTTGAGCAGCACATTCTTAATATTGATATAAAATATTAATATACATGTCAGAATTCGGGGTTAATACTATGTAATATATGTAATATATGTAGGCCTATATGCACACGGTTATATATATATATATATATTCACAAACACACAATTACATAATTATATATCATATATAATTATATATGCAATATATACTACATAGCGCAATATAATATATACACATATTTACTGTTTCATCGTATGCATTTCAGCGAATGAGTGGGAACACTAACAGTAATAATACTAATGCCAGTAAACGAATTTTTACTGTGCTTAACATGTCTATTATGCAGGTAAAAACAGTAAATTGTGCGTTATCCATTTTCGTTTCCGAAGTAGGCTACACCCAGAATAATTATTGCTTTAGATGATTTTGATTTAACGTCGCCCGCCGTTCAGTTAAATATCGGATAAATCTCGCAGGCCCGGAATTTTTAGAAATTAGTCGAGGCTCCTCGTTTCATTCGCCCCGTTCTGCGTCGCGGCTCCCTGTTTTGTTCCCCCCATCCTGTGTTCGCCATGTGTTTAATAGGATTTCAAAATAACGATCTCCTTGCTAATGGCATGTTATCTTTCACATGTCGGCTGGAAACCTTCAATTACAAGCGGCCCCCTCCCATGTAAAATAACATGTCTGAAAGGTGCAGAGCCAATTGTGCAGTAGCCCGAAGGGGCACTTGAAAACACACACACAGAGTCACACACACACACGCACACAAGACAATACACAGTTAATCCACTGCATCCTACGCAGGCGAATGGGGATTAGCCAGTAATCCCTCCCGGGATAGCTCTTCCATAATTAGGATATAGTATTAAATGTTTACTTGAAGAATAATACACTACCGCAGGAGTGCAAACACCACCGGAGTGGCGCCTTAAAACCGCTCATTCATATGCATGTACTAATGTGCTAAACTCAAACGTTGTGATCAGAAAAAAATAACATTACTATACAAGCATACTACCATTTACTGCTAAATAAACTTTTACGCAAAAAATTATATATATATATATATATATATATATATATATATATATATATATACACACACACACAGTTATTATTGATACTTATGATAACCATTATTTCCGTTTTATGTATAAAATAAACATAACCATATTTCCGAGAACCAAAACAAATGCTGTTATTTCTTCTCATTTAAGACGTCACGTTCCTGCTATATTACATTTCAATTTTCGCGACTAACAGACGATCACCGTCCGTACAGTATATCAAAATACCACCTGAATTTTTTTTCTTCTCCAAAACCACAAAACCAAGTCCGAAATTGTCTTGTTACGAGATGGCGCATTATCATATGCAATACGTAACATGACAAGTAAGGGGGGGGGGTTCCAAAAATACGTCTATTAAGCTGTTCTAGGGAAGGCGTTTGTAGTACGGTTGAACTGCGCTCAGATGACATCATTTGGTTTCACAGAACCATAAAGGCCGTCGGAAAAACTTTTTCCTCTGGGGTTGAAATACAATCAAGCAATCAATATTACAACGCTGTGTGCGCATATTGTACATGCATTAGCGCTTCGTTATATACACAACAGCAAACAGCAACACGGTCGTAATTTTATATACAACTCAGCTACAATTTCAAATTGACCAAGAAATTACCAGGCTCATATATATTTCCTGATGTACTGTCACAAATATTTTACAGAACCACAAAATGAATGCTCCGTTTTTCCCCCACATAACAATGGAAAACATGTTAGCATTTAGGCGGTTTTTTTTTTGCATTTCATCACTATGGAGGGAATGCCCGATCAGCCTGGATTCTTTCACTTCCGATATAGTGATGTCATCCCTGTACTGCAACAAATGCACAAGAGCATCATGGGAAATTGTACAACGAAAACAGTGATCCTATTCACTTCATACCCCTCATAAAAATGGGCACTGCCATGATATTTAATATTTATATACTCATTTTTGTATGCATATATTCTATTTAAACATTTAAAGGGGTCATTTTAACCTTTGACAATGTCTTACATGAAATAATTAAGTAGTTTAACAGCCAGCATATACATTGGTAAGGCACATGATCCAGATTTCATAAGAGAACATTGAGCTATATACAAACACACACTCAGTGAGAGTATGTGCAAGCCAAGAAACATACTAACGGGTGTAATATGAGAGAAACTGCACGATTTAATTTGGATTTTGCATCCTGTGCAAAGCAAAAGGCCAAACAGCTAAAATATCAAATGAATTAACTTCATCTGTGAAAGAGTCAGATTTATAAAGATCTTTCCTCCTTGTTTCTGGCAGAGGTTCAGTCGCAGGCCTCTTGGTGAAAGGACTGACGACAGTCTTGAGTGGCCTAGTCACCACTGGGTGGAAGGGGAAATGGGATCTGGTGAGTTGGCCGCATTTCCCAGAATCCTGTTAGGCATGTGGCAAGATATACTCTGAGAAAGAGTCTGCTTTAGCATGAGTTCTGTTAGCATGCTCAGCATCTACACAGAGTGGGACAGGAACCTAGCATGGGGCTGGGGGCGTTACAGGGTCTAATCTAAACCAGACAGAAATATTATACCTGGGCAGGTTCTCCAAAGCATGTGGAGGTACTTTTACAGGCATCTGACTGACAGATATCTCCAATCGCTTTTTCTCATCGTGCACAAAATGTTGTGGTACTCCATCTAACATGCTGCAGCTTAAATGAACCATATTACAACCTATACACAATGCTCAACCCCTCTCAAAGGCAACTCGCAATGCAAAGATATTTGGCTTCTGACATAATGTGAATGGCAACTATTTCAGACAAACAAGTCTACCTTCCACCACTGCTGTGTTGGAGATTTAGGGAAAAAACACACATATAAACACGTGAACAATAGACTGTCTGTTACAGAGCTACTCCTGAGTGTATCAGTTTAAAGGGGTAGCTTAGCTAATTGTGAGCTGTAGAGGACTGTCTGTGTCACACCAAGAGCGGCCATGCTTAGGGCGCAGTGATGCTGTTCATCACACGCTGCACTTGGCTCCAGAGCTGCCAACACTCCACGCCCCCAGAGCTCCGCGTCCCATTTGCACGCCGTGCCGAGAGACAAAACAGCTCATTGGACGAGGCGTGCGGGTCACGACCGCCACCTCCGGCAAACCCCAGCATCCACAGGTAGCAGGGCCTGCTGAGCGGCCACGTTGGGGCGGCCCAGCACTGAGACTGAGAACTGAAACACTGTTCTCCGTATATCACTGGCCCACGGACGACCCGACTGTGGGGCTCTGAATAAACAGCTGTGGATTCTTCCCGTAAAAGCTTCCTTAAAAACAAAAAAAAAATTTAAATCCCCAGCGATTCCTTCCATCTCTCCACACGCACATTAAATGACAGTGGAACAATTAACTGTTTTCAAACATCCCCTCCTGTTCTGTTTAACTTTATTTTTAAAATCTGCTTTGAATTTGTCAGCCGCTCGGGTCTTTACGACATACAACAGCAATAACCCAAAGAGATTCAGTGCCAGGACTCTTTGTTTAATTTGAATGCAGCTCCCCTAGTGGTTAAAATGGATATTGCTAATCTTCATCTACGTTTTAAAAGCTTATGCATTTAGAAACAATCAAAAAAGGATAGGTGTGTCTTCTAAAAAAAATTACAAGCAGGCAAAAAAACAGGAGAATAGGCCCAGTGACACAACAAAACGTGTTGCTGTTCAGTACATCCTGAAGGAATCATACTGTATCTTGCCTTACCCTCGGTCAGGGTGGGCAAAGCTACACCCTGGTTTTCTCTCCACGCAGTGACTTGACCATAAAGTTCGTTCAGACCCTGCAGTGAGGTTCCCATGCCTGTGCCGTACTCCTTGGGCATGGCAGTCAAGACTCTAGGATAGTATTTCAGGATGCAACTAAGGACATGCACGGGAATGTCGCTGTTGAATCCATACTGAATCTGGGAATTCAGAAAAAAATCCTTCATCTGTTCTGTGAAGCTTCACATATAAACATTTACTGTACGTATGCATTTGTTCTGTGCCTCTGGAACCAAGGATCGGCTCAGCTGAGCATATCTGCAGTCATCCCAAGACACATCTTCTCCTGTTTACCTATCGGTGTGTAAAACACTGCAAAACCCCAAATGACCATTTCTTTAATCGCTGTATTGACCAAACCAGGGGATTCAGAATTGCCCAACCTAGATTGAACCAGAAATCGTTTTCAAAATGTCTTCCAAAATCAGCCCATGTGGCTGTACCGTAAAACTGGAGAAGTGGCTACTTTTTCCTGTTCTCACTATATAACCGTTCGGCCATTTTTTCACTCAGATTGTGAGCAAACCCTCGCCTGCACTCCATTTCCAGCATGTAATTCACGCAATCTGACTGTAGTAAAAGTTTCAGGAATTTATAGCCCCAACCAGAAACTCTTCAGCGCCAGAAAGTAACGCTAAGGGCAGAGTTACGAGCAGTACAAGGAGCAACTTGCATAAAGCGATACTGTATAGTCAGTAGCAGAAAGGGGGCTGCCAGCAAGCATTCAAATGTAAAAGCATATGTTGGGGTCTATGTGCACAACATGAGCAGAGACCAGTAACTTAACAGCCCAGGCAAAGAGCTTCAGATGGGTTGCTGTAAATCTGAGACCATGGAAAACACACAAGTAACAGATCCCTCTCTCTCTCACTCTCTCTTGCTCCCTCTCTCTGCTGGATAAATGAGGCACATGCATTCATCTCATATTTTAAGCAAAAAAATAACAGCAATGGAAATGAAGTTATGATACATTTATGACCACAATAAATCCAAGACTTAATTTTCCCAGGCTAATGGACGGCTACCACTCAGTTAAGACAGGCCTGGGGATTTGCACTCATCCCCCATGCGTTCTCAGAGAACCCTGGAGTCTAACGGAAAAGCACTTTGTCGAACGTGGTTGTTTCTTGCCGTTCAATGTCTTATCAACCACCTTATCATCCAGTGCAACGATTAAGGCAGGATTTCTACAACTCACCAAGACAGGCTTCCTGTAAATCCATCCAGTAAGTACTCGACAGTGTGCATAAGCAGTGCAAGACTGCAACTATAGTCACTATTGTATATTGTATTTCTACTGAAAAATTTCACATTGTTATATTATTGTTATGACAGAAAACAGCATCGAAAGTCAAATGCAGAAAACCACAAGGAATGTCTGCACACTAGATTATACAGAATTAAGCAGATTAATTTCACAGAAATGCGATTTGATAGTAATAGCAGTTAATGAACACATCTAGAAAAGTTTCGCGGGCCCCAGTGCGGGTCTGATCACTGTATTTAGGGTTTTAGCACCTGGGTTAGACTCCTGCTGTAGAGATGCTGATCTCAGAAACAGAGACTCCCATGATGTTGGACCCTTGGCGAGCAAAACAAGCTGAAAGGCACAAATGTGCTAAACCCTGACCGTGGTCACAGGTGTTAACAAAATAAAATAAAGACACTGGAGGAAACCTAGTCAGCTTCAAAAGGCAAGCTGATTAACTCACAGACTGGAAACTATTTCTATATCTACCACTAACTGCTCAGTGTTAAAACAATGTCAAGAATGGACAGTATAGAGAACTAACAAAGAGAAGTGTAAAGGGCTTAATCTCATTTAAATGGATGAACAGAAATACAGAGAATGCCTTTGTGTTTAATTAGGAAAAAAGTACTTCTATAATAATCCTCTTTACGACTTATGCCTAGGGGACAGATGAACAGCTATTTCATATGGAAAACAAAAGAGGCAGCTGTGTGGCTTTACTGCAAGCCTCTTGCGGGACCCATCACCTGAATGACGCTTTGGGACAGTATGACATTAATTTAGATTAATCTGTATCTGGATTTTACTGTTACTTTGCAGGCTACATGTGTGGTTTTGAACTAAAGTAGATGCCTGTCATTGTGAGAATTTGGATCGATGAAGGAACCAGGTCCTAACTGTATATATCAGAGTTTGAGCTCACAGGATATGAGGCTTCGGGATTCAAAAGGGACCAAAACTGCCCATTAGGAAGAAATGTGAAGATAGGTGTGTGACTGGTTCAGGAAGTGCGTCTTCATGTTCCTAGAATGTGCTGATGGAGCCTGACAGTGATGGTGTGCCTCTGGTGGTGCTCAGACGCGGCAGTAGTGCTCAGAGACAGTGGCGGTGTTTAGAAGTGGTGACGGTGCTCAGACACGATGCTCAGACAAGGTTGCAGTGCATAGACACAGTGGTAGTGCAAAGACACAGTGGCAGTGCTCAGGCATGATGCTCAGACAAGGTTGCAGTGCATAGTCACAGTGGTGGTGTAAAGACACAGTGGCAGTGCTCAGGCACGATGCTCAGACAAGGTTGCAGTGCATAGTCACAGTGGTGGTGTAAAGACAGAGTGGCAGTGCTCAGGCACGATGCTCAGACAAGGTGGTGGTGTTCGGATGCGGTGGTAGTGCTCAGACATGATGCTCAGACAAGGTGGTGGTGTTCAGACATGGTGGCACTGCTCAGACGCGGTGGCAGTGTCCAGATGCAGTGCTCAGATGCAGTGGCAGTGCTCAGAAGTGGTGGCAGTGCATAGACAGGGTGATGGTGCTCAGCCATGGTGGTGGTGGTGCTCAGATGTGGTGGCAGTGTTCAGACACAGTAGCGGTACTCCAATACAGTGATCAGATACGGTGCCAGTGTTCAGATGTGGTGACGGTGCTCAGACGCAGTGGCAGTGCTTAGATAGGGTGGAGGTGCACAGATGCAGTAGCCGTGCTCAGACGCAGTGGCTGTACTCAGATGCAGTGGTGGTGCTCCGACACAGTGGCGGTGCTTAGATACGGCGCTCTAACGTGGTGGCGGTACTCAAATGCAGTGGCGGTGGCATACAGAAGCAGGCACGCTCCCTTACCGGCAAGGTTGTCCATCTCCTTCTCCTGCAGCAGACTGACGGCATCGTCGTCCCCCTCCAGCATGAGCTCCATCTCAGGGCTCTGGGTCACCACTGCCTGGCTGCGCAATGCCTTCCTGGACTTCACCGCCTCGTCTTCCTCTGTGCCTGGATGGGGGGGTGGGGGGGGGGCATCACGGTTCAGTGAGCAGCTGTAAAATTTGTAAAAACGGCTATGAATATACCCTAGCTATCACTAGTCCTTCCATCTGATTCTCATATGTACACTACTACTATTACACAGCACTGGCATACATTTCTGGTGCCCACTTTCCTGGGCGCATACATACATATATAAAGCATATATCATAAAAACAACCCATATATGAGGCTGTTTGAGCGAACAAGCAATGCACTTCCAAAGCCCAGTGTCCACTACAAACAACATTCGCTGTGTCTTTGCTCATACTTGGGTTATACACAAAGACTCAAAAGATGGCAATCAACATTAATTACAGCAAGTCCTACGCCAAGCAGGCTCTGAGGGTTGGCTGTGTGGGGAAGGCGGTGGAGTTGATGTGGCTCGATGGAAGACTCTTCTTGCAGGTCAACCTCAGGAGGAACGAGCACAGGAGACCCGTGTAGAAGACGGGAGGTGAGAGTATCAGATGGGGTGGGAATATCTGACACTATCCTGACAGGTTTCCTGCTGACGGAGCTCTTGTTACGTCTCTTGCTCCCCTGAAGAGCATGTTCTCGTCTCCAAGAGGTCATGTTTCACTGTTGTCAACACTGTTACCTCAAAAAAAAAAATTAGAGGGACGTGCTGGCTGTTCTGTCTTGTTTCCTGAGCGCTTTCATCAAACATCAGAGGAAGACTGACTGCTCCGGAATGGAACTTGGGGTAACGTCAAGGGGAAGGGCTATTCGACAGTCACGGAAGCATCAAGGCATACGGGGGAAACTTTAAACCATCATTACGGTCACATTAAACAAGAGAATCCAGGAGCAGGAAAATCTCGGCTCTGATTGGCTGCCCTGGAACACGTTCCAAGAAAAACAAACCTGCCTGATTTTTATAAACAAACGGTCAACCTTGAGGGACTGAAATACTCACATGTGTAAAGAAGTTTATTCGCTATAAAAATACAAAATAATATGTCAGGTCAGAAATCAAAATAAAGGAAGTGTGGACAGAGAAAGTTGCTTATAAAAAGTGAATGATGATGGTGAATGGTGACATGATCCATGCATTTTTTCCTTAATCAAAGCTGCTCCTGCAAAATAAAGCTGTCAGACCAGAGATGAAAACTGCTTTGTGGACATTCTTTGAAGAAAGCTTTTAAATAAAGGGAAAACATTCTAAATACACGAAACATACAGTACCACGCTAAAACCAGGGTCTGCCTCTGTGCTCTGGCCACTGCCCGCCTCACCACTGCATAACGCAGCACAGAAAATCAGCGGTCGACAAGCGTGAGAGAAAATGCCCCAATTGAACCCTGTGATGTCTCAGCTGTAATAGGAGCCAGGATCCAAGCCAAATTTAAGTGGCTGATTTCCGAAAAATAGTTTTATCATTTATGGAAACAAAGCTTGGTGCTGAAAGCCAGATTCCAGCTTTGGAATCAACATGAAGAACACTGGGATCCAGCACGAGAGGCTTGGGAATGACAGAATTCCTTTCTGGGCCCGTTACTGAGAGCTTTCTTTTAAAAACACAATTCTGATCGCTTGACATCATTATTTCATATATTTGCTTCGCACATGGTAAGTGGTTTAGGTGTTTACAAAATATGAATACCTGTTAAAAATGCCAAGGTCGCTGGTTTGATACCCTTATGAGCCACATTGCATGTGGGGCAATATGTGGCTCTGTCGGTTATAACGCTGTACTTTTCACCAGAAGGTTGCCGGTTCAAGTCCCATGGATAGTGGAACCTTGAGCAAGGTCTTTAACCCTAATTGCTTTAGAGACTGGCTGACCCCACTTGATAAATATGTGAAATAAAGTTAATCCAAGGAGAGAGGAGCAGCTGAGAGTCTCCTATTGAGGTAGCAGCCTCCACCCACAAGCCTGGTATTGTGACAGCAGTCAGTTTACAGGGTGTGCAGATACTACAATGTCGCGCACATGCGCACTGAGAGCAGCATTCCTCAAGCTGCCAGAGGAGATCGCAGGCTGACAGGCAGGAGTCAGCACAGCGACAACTGAAGGAAGATCAGCAAAGGTAGCTGCTGACCTATGATTTGACTGACTCTGTTAATATGACTCAAAAAAGCTTCATTGCCCAATAGTGGTCTCTGGCTCTCCTTGAGACTAATCTTGTAATTCCCCATAATGTCACAATACATCTCACCTATAAAGCTGATTTATAGGCAGCTTAAAACATGTGTCTGATGGTAAATTCCTGCCAAAATGCACTTAATGCTGACACAGATGCCTGAGCTTTGAGACGATGGCCTAAAAAGCGAAACGGCGAAGCGGGAGATAAACAATCTGCCTTCAGCCGATTCAGGGCAGATATTTCAGGCTCCGATACTGACAAGATGACAAAAATAGAAGCGTCCTCATAATAAAAGCGGTGCACCGTCCTTCTCTGGTGCATCTGTGCCAATGAATCGCTATTCTGCTGCAGGCAGATAAATGACATCTCAATTCACGGGGAAGCCGGGTTTCACAGCTACAGAGTGCAGCAGCACCAGTTTTGTGCAGGTGTTGGGACATGGCCTCTCAGATTAAAATACTTATACGTTTCGTAGGTTAACTGTTCAGTAAACAGCAGACGAGGGTCAAGACTTTAAAAAAGCAAATGGGATAAATCGATCCCATAAACAGCTGTGTCACATAAATGTTATTTTTGTACTTTAAACCTCTAATTTATATATACAGTTTTATCGTTTGGGTGATGTTTTTCCCCTTGTTTGTCTTAAAACAGAATATTTACCCTTAAGACTCGAACGTCTGACAGCAGAAGATGTATCTCAAATACTATGCTGCAGTTTTCCATGCATCTGGATTTTCAAAAGGTAGCTGAAATATGCAAAACAAGCAGACATTATAAATGATAAAGCTAATCCAAAGTGTGACAGAACCACTGAAAAAGTAATAGCATCCTTTTACCCTATGTTTAATTAAAAGACAATAATAAAAAAGAACAAAAATCAATCTTTTGTTGCAGAACCCCAAAGCAATGGAATCATGAACAAATGTACTGTGCAACAAATAATGAATAAATAATCGCAAGAACAATGAATTTACAGCCATTGGTTTAATAAAAGCTGGACTTCTCATTACTTTTTTCCTCACTTCCAGCACTAATGTTAATTAAAGTCGTTAGTTTTAATATGGTTCACACATTTTTCTGGAATGTTCTTTTCTCGACTTGTACATACAATGTATCAAAATTGGTTTCTTTTTACCCCCTATTGTCTTAGTATTATTAAGAGTCACAAGAGAACACAGAGAAACAGAAACAGATTCCTTATGAGACAAATGTAAACAGGAACTTTAATACAGGATTCCAGCCAGATCATCTAGCGTCCCTCTTCCCATATTCGTCGTTCACAAATACCTTAGTGACATAGGTGCAGGTCAACAGCATCACTAACAGCACAGGTCTTGCATGGCAAAAAAATACTCAGAGGCGTAGCTAAAGATCTGCACCCACTACTCATGATGTGACACTATGTCTTAATGTGTGAAGTCACCTGCTAATTAAATCCCTCCAAAAATTAAAAAAAATAAAACTGACGCAAAGGTATTTTATGGTTGGTACCATCATGACCATTCAGCATCATGGTGCTTGCATGGTGCTGGGGGTGGGGCTTGCATGGTGCTGGGGGTGGGGCTTGCATGGTGCTGGGGGTGGAGCTTGCATGTGCTGGAGGTTGGGCTTGCATGGTGNAAAATTAAAAAAAATAAAACTGACGCAAAGGTATTTTATGGTTGGTACCATCATGACCATTCAGCATCATGGGGCTTGCATGGTGCTGGGGGTGGGGCTTGCATGGTGCTGGGGGTGGGGCTTGCATGGTGCTGGGGGTGGGGCTTACATGGTGCTGGGGGTGGGGCTTACATGGTGCTGGGGGTGGGGCTTTGAACACAGCATCACTACTAAGAGGAACAGAGGAGATGCACGAGTCCTCCCACCCTGCAGGTCCTCACTCCCACTGCAGCAGGGTATGTCCCATATCTCGCCTAACATTCACGTTGGCTCTGCATACAGGCATGATCTTCTCGGATGCTCTTCTGACAGCTATCACCAAACAGAACATTTCTCCCTGACTGAGTGAGAGTTACACACAACATAAGCGCCTTATTAAACAGAAATCTGGCAGAAATCTTCACGTAAAAGGCGTGAGTGTGGTTTTAAAGTAAGTTGTCTGCCATTTTCTTGACAGCACAATAATTCTCATGTAAATGCATCTACTTCTGGTCCAGTGGGGGTGCATTTGCATCTCCACAGCACTGCAGACTATTTAAAATGGAAAGTAACGATCTGGGGCTGGTGGCATCGCGGGCCGCACACCTGCAATGAGATAGCAAGGACGCGGGGAGGTAAAATAGTGCATTAAGCACCAGGATCAATATTAACGCGGCTTCCATTTCATGCCTGCCCGCTTCCAATCAACTAACAATACACAGCGATGCCTGCAGCCACCACGCAGGAACCGGGAGAGCTTATTAAAGGGAGGGAATGTGCTCGTTACGCTGTCAGTGCTGCTAATCGTCAGGAGGATAGTGCTTTACATTACCTCCCCATCGCCTCCAGAACCACCATCACCTCAAGGTGAACATACACGTAGGCCCCCATGCTTAGATACACATGGGACGGACACCTACAAAAACCAGGCAAACAGCTCACACATGCAGAGTCAGGCAAACATGAGCTCTCACGCAGCCAAAGAGGCCATCATGAGGGACACTGGCAGCTCTGACCCCGAAGGACCCAGGTGGAGACTGGCTCATTAGGGCAGCCCGGCCCTCATTAGCGTCTTTACTGGGGCAATTCGCTCCAAGTGGCTTCCCATTAAGCGGGCCGCTCAGGAAGCTGAGGGCAGGCAGGCCAGCACATGTCTGTGCTCACACCGCTGCCAGGATATGCACACGTACACGGTGGGTGACTGGGACCAATCACACCACTGCTATCCAGTATCGAGTTTTACACGCACCTGTATTTAGCTCGCTATCACAACAAAACATATGTAGCTACTAATTGTTCCAATTAAACTACACACAGAACAGAGTAAAGCTTGCAGAAACGTGGGTCCATCTGAAAATGGACAGTGAATTATAAGAACCCATGTACAGTAGTACCTCGGTTCTCGAACTCACTAGAACTCGAATTTCTTGAAAGTCGAACAAACCAGTTTGACCTAGAACTCGATCTGAATATCAGAAGTCGAACCGTGAACGCTGACCTAATATAAATTGTACGCGCCAGGAAATGAGTCATACTACAATGCAATTCTTGCTTGAATGCCTTCTTCACAGACTGGACGATTAACCAAATAAAGCAGCGCAACATTACAGTAACTAACAATAAATAAACCACTAACTTACGTGTACTATTAGAGCATTTATGTAATTTATTTAAACTTTATTTTACCAGGTAAATTAACTAAAAACCAGTTCTCACTGCTTTACGTGATATTCTGGAGAAATTGCAGATTACGCATCGGAACTGCCTGGGATACAAACGTCATGCGTGTAACTAAACTCTTCAGCCAATAAGGGCAAAGGAGTGTCGGTTCCAGTTTGTGCAGCCAGGTGAGAGATCACAATGCATCTAACCGTATTGCACTGCGTCAGGATCAGAATGCGTTGCTTTAAGCCAGCGCAGTAAGCAAGTCGAACGCACCCAATGACCGGACTGGGGAAACAAACTGAAAAGCGGTCACACGGACTTAATACAGAGGACTAATGACAACAACCAGAAACAGCTGATCACATGGGGATCCCACACGAGGTTAACGAGGGGGCGTGGCACACAGAAGGAGTGGACGATCGGCGCAGGACAGGGGTAATGTTGGGATAAGATCTTTATTGTTTTAGAAGCCATTAAGAAAAAAATGCTCTTCTTGTTTTATACTGTTCATTTTGTGTTTAAATGGTAAAAAAAAAAAACATATTTAGGTGTAATTTTGGGGGGCCGGGAACTAATTAATTGGTTTTCCATTATTTCTTATGGGAAAAATTTGATCAGAACTCGAACTTTTCAGGATTTGATCCGGAGTCTGGAACGGATTAAGTTCAAGAACCGAGGTACCACTGTATTCATAAATGCAAAATAATCAGGACTGTACAATCAAATGAAAATGACACCCATGAAAATGATAGTAGTTTAATATAAAGAATATTTCTTCATATATTCTTTGTATAATCTCTCCCCCCCCAGTCACTTTCCCCTCCTCGCTCTTCCCCCATCCATGACACACAAAATGCATTTTGAGAGCTGCTCAATCTGGGCCATGTTTTCTGATTTCTCATAGTCTATAACATATAATAACTTATTTGATTTTGTTTATTTACTTATTATTCAAAACAACATTCCAGTCACCCAGGGCCTGTATCACAAAGCCGGATTTCTTGCTTATCCAGATAACTTGTTGGATTTAAGATATCCCAGTTTAAATGAACTTCATCTTTATTCAATTACGTTCAACCCAGGCTAACTTAAATCTGACAAGTTATCTGGCTAAGCAAGGAATCCTGCTTCGCGATACAAGCCCCAGACAAGCATGGATTCCAAAAACACAGGGGGCATTAGCTAACCTTGGGTTTAGAGTATGCAAATCGGACATACAGATTAAACAAAGGACAAATTAATTGTTTTGGGCAATACTTTTTAAAGCTCATAATAAGTCCTTCATCTGGATTGTTATGCTTGGGGCATGCTGGACGCCCTGGATTGGTGGTAGGTGCGTCTGCAGTCCAACTTGATTACAGACAGGCGTAAAACGGCCCCAAGGTGTTTAACAGGAGCAGGCCCGGCCATAAAGCTCTGCGTGGCGTGACACAGAGCAACAGTAACACAGTGGGGTGGGCGGGCAAGCAGGGCGTCATTACAGGGGTCAGCAGAGGAGAAGTTTCAGACGGAGGAGAGAGAGAGAAAAAAATGAAAAGGGGAAAACGGAGCCGGTTAATTTGCTGTGGAGTGCATGTGGCAGAGCTGGGTGTGGGGGGCCAGGATGAGAGCAGAAACAGCTCTGCCATGTTCAACTACCACGCTCCATAAATACCAACCTATAAATGAGGCCATAAATCCACTTTCCTAGATCTAGGGGGTGTCTGCGTTCACACACACACACACACACACACACACACACACACACACACACTTATCAAGGTCAGCATGTCTGGCATGAGGTCACCCCGCATGGGTCTCGTCAGTCGGCGTTTTTCTGTATGAGAGCGAGACGTTTCGCAGACGGGGTCAGACGGCCTATGACCCCCCAGCACTGCGGCACTAACCGTATTCCTCCAGGTCCTTAAGCAGCACGTCCGCGTGGGTGGAGCCGAAGGCGTTGCGCACGAACCTCCGTCGCCTGCGCAGGTCGTCCTCCCAGTAATCCAGGCGCCAGAAGTCGTGCAGCTGGCTGTGGACAGATGGCAAAAGGGGGCAGAGTTACGGGGCAGGTTAGCTGTGGAGGGCGGGGCTTGATCCAGGATGGACACACCCATGACAACTGGCCCCACCCCCACAAAGAATCTAATTAAGTACAAATTCAGCGGCTGCTCATATTCTTTAACGAGTCCCGTGAATGAATCAAAAGAGGAGACTCTCACCACTGATACCGCTTGCTGACTGGGGGGTGGGGGGCTGCAGACCATGGTTGGAGGCTCTCACAGTTGTGTAAAATACACCCCCCCACCCCCGGGCTAATGCTGAGCCGTGATTAAAATAATGTGCTAAAATATTCATTGAAATGATTCCTGAGTCGCCCCGGAGCAACCAGAGGAAAATTGAGTTTTTATTCATTATTAATAATGTTGAATTAGACCGGCGGAAAAGACGGAACGGCATGTACATATACAGGAAAGAAGAAGGAGAAGAAAAAAACCTCCAGCATGTGGTAACCATCTTTGTAAATGATTATTCCAGCATTAGAGAGGACCTGGGGTAATTTTATTGCTTGGCGCTAATGCAAACCATTAGGAGTTACTCCAGTCAGCCCCAGCATCAGGTTACTAAGTGGGAGCCGTCCCAGGCCGGGCGGCGCACGCTTCTACGGGTCCTTTGTAATGCTAAGGCTCCACGCTCCCTCACAGGGCAGTGCTGCGACCCATTTACTGTGAGCTGAGGGCCGAGGCGTGTTTTGTTCGTGCATGTTGAGGTCCACTGCGCTAAAATCGGGAAATCAGGGGGTAGGTGGGAGAGCCCCCCCCCCCCCACCCTGAATGAAAGCAGAGCACTGTGCTTTGCAGTGCAGCCATTGGCTCTGCTAGCTTGCAATGGCCTGCTGCAAAGTAAACTGCAAACCGCAGGCGCTGGTCCTGGGGGTGGGGGTGGGGGGGGTAGTGAGTTGCCCCCGCCCACCAGAAAAAGAAAAATTCACAGGAAAGCTACACTCTGGCAACTTGCTGTGCCTAGTGGGTGGAGGCTCGGTGCAGAGCAGAGCGCTGGGATTACACGTGCCCCGCCCTGCGTGATCAGAGGAATACCTCCAGATTAGCTCCTGCATTGCCCCTACAGCGGTCCATCTTGCTGGGATGCTGTCCTACTTATTTCTGATGCTTCGTGACGATGTCTCCTCTGCCTGCCCCGCCTCTCTCCGCTGTAATTCCCAGAATCCCCCACAAAATGTGGGGAGAATCCGGACACAGATCACGCGAGCTAAGGAGCACTAAGCCCTTCACTTCCAGCCACCAGCGTCATTGTGAGGTGCCCCACCCCCCTGCCTGCGGCGGAGCGGCGAGGCCGTCTAAACAGATTAAAGTCTTACAAGCGGATCACATGACAAAGGCTAACTCCGCATTTCGAGAATATAATGTCAGGAAGCGGGCGGCTCTGGTGATTTAGCGGTCCGTGACAGAGGAGGGAGCGCTGATCCACAGTTTAGCGTCAATCAAGAGCGTTTGCGTCTCTCTCTGTGTATGTGCGAGTGTGTGTATGTGTGCGCCTCTCTCTGTGTATGTGTGAGTGTGTGTATCTGTGAGTGTGTGTATGTGTGAGTGTGTGTATGTGTGCGCCTCTCTCTGTGTATGTGCGAGTGTGTGTATGTGTGCACCTCTCTCTGTGTATGTGCGAGTGTGTGTATGTGTGCGCCTCTCTCTGTGTATGTGCGAGTGTGTGTATGTGTGCACCTCTCTCTGTGTATGTGCGAGTGTGTGTATGTGTGCACCTCTCTCTGTGTATGTGCGAGTTTGTGCACCTCTCTCTGTGTATGTGCGAGTGTGTGTATGTGTGCACCTCTCTCTGTATATGTGCGAGTGTGTGTATGTGTGCGTCTCTCTCTGTGTTTGTGCGAGTGCGTGTATGTGTGCGCGCCTCTCTGTGTATGTGTATGTGTGAGTATGTGTATGTGTGCACCTCTCTCTGTGCATGTGCAAGTGCGTGTATGTGTGCACCTCTCTCTGTGCATGTGCAAGTGCGTGTATGTGTGCACCTCTCTCTGTGCACGTGCGAGTGCATGTATGTGTGACTGCGTGTATGTGTGCGCCTCTCTCTTTGTATGTACGAGTGCGTGTATGTGTGCGCCTCTCTCTTTGTATGTACGAGTGCGTGCATGTGTGCGCCTCTCTTCATGCATATCTGCCTTTGTCTGTCTTTATGTGTCTCTCTCTATGTGTGTGCAGCTGTGTGTGTGTGTGCTTCTCTCTTCATGCATGTGTACCTCTCTCCGTGATTTTGCGTGTAAGTATATAAGTATGCACTGATGTATCATCACCCCCCCCCCTCCCCACCCCCTTTGTGTGCTCATGTTAGTGGGCAGGGCCACGGGGGGCCTGAAACTTCTCCCTCTATCAGCCTGGATCAAAATATGCCAAGGGAGATGAGACTGAGTGAACAACAGAGAGAAAGGGAGAAAACAAACATGAGTAGAGCTTACAGATGCAGACCTACTGAAATCATACAGTAAATGGGAGATTAAAGAGGCAAGAGACAGACATCCAGCGTGAGCAGCCTGATCTGCATGCTAAAGCATCCATCCCTCTGTGTAAACCTCACTTAAAATTGCTACACTAGTGTTTATAGATCCAAGAAAGAAGAACAACTCAACACAAACTACTCAAAACACCAAAATAATTCACTCCATCTTTCTGATGTGGCTTTCTTTCATTCTGGGGTTAGGGTTCACGCCCCACAATGGTGAAAGTGCTGGACTGTGAACCCCTTTCCAGCGGACCCCTGATAGATGGACGCAGGAAGCCGGCCCGGCTCCTCTGAGCAGAGCGAAGAGGGAGACAAATAATAATAATAATAATAACAAAGGTGACAACCAGTCTCCCAGAAGGCGGGAAAAATTTATTAGCCGCGTCTCCCATCAATCACCCAAATGGATTCCAAACTGCATTTTAAAAGCTAATTTTCAAGTGCTAATAACCAAAACTATCAGCGGGGCTACACCGCCACTTTTATTTATGGCCGTTCCTGGCTGCACAAATTGCGCAGTGACAAATGAATCAGAGGATCCTGTGGCTGGGCGGCGCTGCAGGCGTGACAAGCGCTCTCGCGTCTCTGTGAGATCTAACGGCTGCGCCACGCCTCTGCGGGGGGTGGGGGGGGGGGCAACAAGCCAAGAGTGATGAATCAGGCCTGAGAAATAAGGTGGGCAGGGTGAAGGAACCTGCAATGATACGGCAGTATAGCCATTGAAGGTACTGCAGGAGTCCAGGCCCGAGAAGAGGTGAAAATTCAGGTCCAGAAAGTAAAAATCCAGACCATGACTTTTTTTCAACCAACCAGTTGAACATAGAGTCACTCAGCTGGTTGGTCTAGATTTTTACTTTCTGGACCTGAACTTTACACCTCTGGGACAACCTGAACCTCCACAATGCGCCTCTAGGATGGTTCTCGAGGACCCATTAGGGCTGTAGGATGAGGAGGGATGAAGGTCGGAGCCTGAGACAGGGGCCCAGATACACGACCCTTTCCTGCTTCAGCCACAGTGGGGCAGCCACATCCACTCCTTTCCATGCTAATTTAGCCATGCTAACATCCCCCCCGCACCCTTAATCCTGGCGGCTGTGTTCAGATTCACTCACCATACCTAAAAATAAAAGAGCATTAGAGGGACACAGAGCCATTCTCCTCCGAACATATTACGCATATGCCCAGAACCGACCCCCCAATTCCCTTAACACTGCCAAGTTGAGTCCTGTCCATTGGATGGAGCTCTGATTAATCCCGCCCTCTAGCCTGAGCCGATTGGCTGAGGGGCAGGAGGAGTCCATTCATAGGCTGCAGGGGAGGTTAATGTGCTACAGCTTTGTGAGGAGCAGCTACTTCGGGGACACTTGATGGCAGGTGGACAGCTGCAGCCTGGGCATGCAGCACAGGTCTGTGTGATGCATGTGTAAGCAGAGGAAAGAGAGGCAATATGGATGACCTTGTCTCGGAAAACAGAGAAACTTCGGAAGCACTAAAAAAAGGGCAAGAGCACAGAGTCATGGGCCATCGACAGGTTCTATAAAATCCATATAAAGGGTTCTGTGCCACCGATGTCCAATCGATGGTTTTTGGGTCAATAAACAGCTATACAGTATAACAAAACACAAATGATCAGGTTGCAAGATGGCAGGAGAGGCGACCCACAGGGAGGTTGGGGGGTAAAGCCAGAAGGAGCACAGAGCAAACACACTTCAGGCTACATGGAATTAGCTCTAATAGAAAAAGATCTATTTGGTGTTACCACAGAAGGGACAGAAGAGGGGAAAAAGGAGAAAGCAATTCAATAGGAAGCCATTATGTTCCCTTTAAATGGCTCCATTTGAGGGCCATGGGGGCGTAATTAGAATGAATGCCGGTAATCAGGGGCCGGACTATTTAAAGGGACGGGGGCCTGGTTCTCGTCAGCGTCACACTGGGGCCTGTAATGCAGGGCCTGTAATGCTGCTCGCTGGCTCCCCTATGCCCCATGGTCACGACCTTAGACACAACCCTGGTCTCTGAGACGACCCCCACCACCACCCCCCTCTGTGGTGGGGAAACAAATGGCCCTTCTTGGGATGGCTCACCCTTGTTGCATGTGAATGGGGGTGATTTACAGACAGGGAGCTGGGAAGCTCACAGGTCTGACGTCATGGCGGCACGTCGAGCCGTGATCGTGCGCAGTCGCTCTCACATTGCCTGCTTTCTGTACCCAAAGCAAATCACAACAAGGAGCTGAACGAGGCTCGGCACAAAAACAGCAGAACAGATGCAAATAATTAGTCAGCAAAGGGTTTCCCAGAGGCCTTTGCAGCATCACAGTCCTTCGCTCACCCTAAACTCTGAGGACTATAACTGTGATTCCCAGCAGTCTTTCTAATGCTCTTTTAGCCTCTTGGCCCCTCATTTTCCTCACTTCTCCTTGCATGCCCAAAGCTAAAACTTAGCTGGCACCCCACACCAGAAGCCTGGCCGTCCCAGAGCGGCCACTGTCAAAGCTCCCAA